CTGAGTGGAGATGTTTTCATAGTTGGGTTATTTCACTAGTTTCTGTCAAATAGCAGTTATAACAGTTAATATTCATTGAGTGTTTTCTTTACCCACATTGTTCTAAATACTTCACATGTATTATTGCAATGAATCTCAACCCTAAAAGTCTTTTGAAGCAATCCTATTAAGCAGGTATTATTTTCTTCATTTTACAGAGGTCATAGGAACAAAGGTTAACCAATTTGTTAAAGATCACAAAATAAGTGGCATAGATATGACATGAACCTAGGAGGACTGAGTCTAGAATTCACACACTCAGCCTCTATTAGTCTACTTTCTCAAACACAAATGAGAAATTCTACTAGTCAAAACTGTCACTATTTGGCAAACAAAGCTAGCAATTACATCTTAACTCCATCTAACAAGAGTGCTAAAGAATTTTGGTCTAGGGATAAGGCAGAACTCAGTATTTTTTTTTCAGGTAGTTATATTTCATATTAGGTATAGAATATTCATGTCTCAACAAAAACTTGTAGAAATCCTTGAGACCTCTCTTCTTTTCTGAGGAAGGTATTAGACCTAGACCCATGCCTATGAAGTTGATGGCCTTGTCTGGGAGACAAACAGATACTTAAGTATCTAAGTGATTACGTATGGTGGTATTTAAAACATATAGTTTTCAATTTAAATGACAAAATATGTGGGCTAATATTATTTAATTAATTAATTAGCTGTCTACAATCTAAGACTTGTTTCGCTTCTTTAATAGCTGTTCCTATAACAGTCAGCCTATAATTACTTCAGGCATCCACAGAAATGCTATCTTTCAAACCTTACTGAAATTAATTTCTGAGTTCATTTAATTCAGAGGCAGGGGGAAGGACACAGAACATGGGATTTTTCAGAGAAATCACAGGCTTTCTTTTATGTGACACCAAATACTATATAATTTAAATATTTTCTTCTTTTTTAGTTTTTATGAGAGTCAAATTTAGAGCCTCAGAACAGCAATATTTAGTCTATGTACCTGGTAACTTATTTCCCTTAGACTCACTCTTAGATACATTTTTTCATTTTCTTTTAATTTAAATCTGTGATGGTTTCACTTGGTTATCTCAAATTTTAAGCAATGTTCACGTCTTTTTGGAAATGAGTTGGACTTAATACATTAAACAAATAAATACAACCATAAATCCTTAAGACAAATTAAAATTTCTAAGAAAAATAAGTTTAGAATAAACTATGTCACTATACCAATTTAACCTTTGTTCAGTTTTTCTTTGACCTTGAGTCTTCCAAATTAATACTAACTGAAAAGCAATTTTAGAATAAAAGTATCTGACCCAGTAAAAGTCTCTTTACAAAATAAGAGTTGTAAGTAGTAAGGTTATAAAGAACACTTTCAATTTTCATTTTTAGTTACCTCAGTCTATTAAACAATTACAAAAGCCTTTTTTGTTTTTTTGCAGTGCTACAGATAGAACCTAGGGTTCATCTATTCCTGCCATGCTCCCCCTCCCTATCCCACTATGAATCAGCCTCCTTATATCAGAGAAAACATTCGGCAGTTTTTTGGGGGGGATTCGCTAACTTCACTTAACATTATCTTCTCCAACGTCATACATTTACCTGCAAATGCCATGGGCAGGAGGGGAATGGAGGTGGGGCAGGGGTTAGCAAGGATGGTGGAATGTGATGGACATCATTATCCAAAGTACATGTATGAAGACACAAATTGGTGTGAACATACTTTATATACAACCAGAGATGTGAAAAACTGTGCTGTATATGTGTAATAAGAATTGTAAACTACCCTGCTGTCATTTATTTTTAAAAAATCAATTAAAAAAAGAAAAAAAGAGATAAAACCCAGAGCCTTTCTCATCCTAGGCAAGCACTCTATCACTTTATCCCAAGTTCCCTTTTTGTGCTTTTCATAAAAGATTTCTATTAATAATGCAGTTATCTATTACTTTTATGTTAGTTTCATTTAAAAACAATCTATCCATTAGTATTTCATTAAACTCGGAATTTTAAAGATCTCTTTCTCTCTAGTCTTAAAAACCCAGAGTCTCATTCTTTCTTAAAGAAAATTCAATATCCCATGTGAATATTTTTACTGCTTACAATAAGAAAACACTAATAAAATTCCAATGATCTGCATATACTTTAGTTATGCTTCAAATCTGGAATTTTAAAATAAGTCCATCCTATTCAAGAGTGAGGCTAACAAGGCTTCATAAGCTTAATTAAATCAGCACCCAAAACTTTCCTTCTTATCCACAATTAGGAATATGTGGGTCAGACAGTTAAATTCCAAAGACATGTACATTTTATGAGTTATTTCATTTTCTAGACCTTAATCTTCAAAAATATAGTCCATGCTGGGCACAGTGGCATATGCCTGTAATTCCAGGGACTCAGAAGGCTAAGGGAGGAGGGCTATAAGTTCGAGGCCAGCCTCAACAACTTATATCAAAATAAAAAATAAAAAGGGCTGGGAATGCAGCTCAGTGGTAAAGTGCCCCTGGGTTTAATCCCCAGTATAAGAAAAAAATATATATATCATCCATAATTAGAATAGCTAATACCAAGTTGAAATTATTAGGAAACCATTTTAAGAGATGATAGAGAATGAACATATGATCAAGGATACAGCACAATAATTTTCTGCCTCTTTAATTATAATTATGACCAAAATCTCTGATTATAGCTCTTGAGTATATAGGCTGGGGGTGTAGCTCAGGGGTAGAGTGCTTGCCTGGGATATGTGATGCCCTGGATTCCTTCCCAGCATGCATTAAAAAAAAAAAAAAAAAAGGACTTGAGGATTTTTTGTTATTTCCTCCTTGGAGCCCTAAATCGAGAACTTCAGATCAGCTCAGCTTAGAATGTAACTATATCTATATCCTCACCTTAGTTTTCATTACAAAACTCAATTGTAGGTGATTTTTTGCATTCTACTTAGACTGTTAGTTTGCTTTTAAGGTAGGTCAAAGAATGCACTGCTGCATTTATCCAAGGTCTTTTCCCACTGCTGTCAGAAAATCTGAATACTACAGCTGAGAAAGGAGAAAAGTGCCTGGGTTCTCTATGAACACAGTTTTCTCTTCTATACTTAATTTCTTTGTTTATTTTGAGAGGCTTCCTATAGATTTCTATGAGGCTTTCTGAGTACCTATCCTACACCAGCAAAGCCAGGGGCATCTTCTAAGACAGACACAACTTCTCCTAGAAAGTCATTTGTAAACTGTACTTTGCATACAAATCACCTGGGGATCTGATTTAACTGACACAGTATGTTTGGGATGAGACCTAAGATGATGATGATCTGAAGAGCACACTCTGAGTAGTAAGGTTATAAAGAACACTTTCAATTAACATTTAGGGTTTTGATAAAGAATTGTCTTTCCTTCCCCACACCCATATTCAAAGGCTTAATTGTACCTGAATGTACTCATCTGCAAAATCGGTGATATCTCAAAAGTTACATCCACGCTCCATGAATCTACAATTTACCACCTCCATCCCTTTCCACCCCCCAATTCAACAGGTGAAGTAGGAAACACTCATTTATATATAATAATTTACTTAATAGCATGAATGATGCTTCAATTTCTTTTTAAGTTGTTGCTGAACATGGAACCAGGTACCAAGCAATCACTTATTCTTTTTAAATAAAATTTATACTGATTTTGTTATTTTGGTCCTTAGAAGAAATATTTTAATATTCCTATACCAACTCTGGAAATAGAAAACACCAAAAGTGAGCTTTTTTGTCAGGTCTCCAAATATTTTTCACTGAAATTCTACTTGACTCTTGAAAATACCATATTCAAGTCTATCTAAAAACTCTTTCCCTCAAGTACAGTGTCTTGTTGTTGTTGTTTTGGTCTGGGAGTCTAATCTTTCTCTATCCCCAAGCTCTTTAATTTTAAAAAGTTCGGAGGGGTGGAGGGTGTAGCTCAGTGGTAGAGCACTTGCCTAGCATGCACAAGGCCCTGGGTTCAATCCCCTGCACCAAAAAACAAAAAGACAATTCACAACTGAAAAATCTCCTGGTGTCCAGTAACTCTGAAACTCCTGAGATGAATATCTTGGTCTTTCTTTAATTATCCCTATCATTTCCTGTCAAAGTTAGATACACTTGGAATAACCAGGACAAGAAAAGTAGTTTACATTTTACCAGTGGCCATACAACAATCAAACCATAAAAGAGGCATAGATAATCTCATATGCAAGACATCTGTTTTCTACACTAAAATCTATGTATATATGTAAGTATGTATTTGTAAAATGCATTCTAACTGAAATATTGTAGGGACATCCTAAAATAAATTTTAGTAATTTTGAAACTGTAAACATGTACACAGTGGGTGTATGTATAATACATAATGCTTTAAATCTGAACATGTACAGATATTTGTGGAAGTAAATTTACTGAAAAACTATGAAGACTATTTAATATCACTTTCAATTTTTTTAAAAAAATATTTCTAAAGTGCTTAAAACTATATTAAGTATACAATAAATGTTTTAGGACTATACTGCAGGTTATTGCCAGAATTGAGTGAAAATGCCAGGCCTTAAGGAGACTCCCAATTGGACAGGCTTTTTGCCTAATCCATATGGTAAATTTTTTGTTTTTATACAATACCAACTGAAAAATAAATTTTTTATTTGTATAGTAAGGCTAAGTTCCAGTTGCAATGTGTAAATTTTTAAAAGGTCACAAACGGAACTGACAAGAGACCAAAGTCATAAAATGCTAACTGCTACTGACTTAGAAAGAGAGTCATAATTATTACATAAGATAGCAAATGTATTTAAAAGCTTCCATCTATAGAAATAATGTATTTAATATTATCTTCACAATCTGAATTAAACATTATCTTGTAGAGGTTACATCAAAATTTCAGGTTAATAAAAAAGGCTAAAAAATATGTATTACTTAAAAAAAGAAACTATAAATTGAAGTTGCCATTCTTAGAGAAAAATTCTGTTTTTCTTTCTTTCAGAGGCTATGTGGCCCCTCCCACTAGTTCTGTGTCCTGCCTGGTTATTTCTTGACGTTCTCTTTTCAACTGCATCCATCATGCATCTCTGTGCCATTTCAGTGGATCGTTACATAGCCATCAAAAAGCCAATCCAGGCCAGTCAATATAACTCCAGAGCTACCGCGTTCATCAAGATTACAGTGGTGTGGTTAATTTCAATAGGTATGTGGGGAATACCATTGTACGGGTGGCATATATGGCCTTCGGTTCCTTTAGGCTAGGACAATGTCAGGTCTGGTAGGCCCAGAAACTCAGCATGAGAAGTCAAGGCAGACTACTGATGTTCCAACACAAGGTGCTTCTGTTGTTACATTCATCATGTAGTGTCTAAACCGTACAGAAACTGAATAAGTAGCAAAGTTCATCTCTTAATGATGTGCAGGAAGGCTAAGTCTTCATATTTATCAACATGTCATTAAGACCTAGCTAGTATAAGGCATCCCATAATTTCATTTTTTGTTATCTTGATGTGATTATCTTACATCACATCTAAGAAGATGAATAGGAAAAGAGAAAAAAACAACTCAAACATTTTACAAGCAGGATTCAGAGCATAAATTCATCTTAGAAGCCAACATTTCAACATGTATATATAGATTAGAGGCAGCTAAATGTCTGCATTAGTGTTTTAAATGTTTCAAAGTTTTTAGATTAAAATAATGTTTACCTAATGTTCAGAAATTACTTGTAGAGAGAAGTCACATCTCTTCTAAACTATTATGATTCTGTGCTTATCTTTAATGCTTAAAGATAGCTCCTATAATGGACTATCTTGGCTTGAAGTACACACTCAAAGCTCTTTAAGTTAATTAGAAAAACAAGCAGATTTACAACAAACACAATGATCTGACCAGCGGACTCACCCTTCCTAGAAAAATATCTTAGAAGAGGAAAAATTTTAAAGAGACACAATACTAAAAGGAAGGTAAGGAAAAAAAAATTACTTCTCTGTAATCAGAGTAAGAGCATATCCAAAAAAAAAAAAAAAAAAAAAACAATAAGTAAGACACTGAAATTGACCTACATATTCCTGAAATAATGGTACTAAAGCCAAACATCTTGAAAAATTTGCAGATAAAATCAAGGCATGCTACTGCTGTGGCATGGGAAGAAAACAGGGTTAAGGAAAAGTCTATTCAGAACAGAGAGATTTGCAAGCAGCAAGAAAAGGCCAGTTTAAGGGGCAGAGGCTGATGGACAGAGCAGAACAGCAACTCTATAGCCCCCCCCCCCCAAAAAAAAAAAAAAAAAAAGCTAGAGAAAGAGAAGGGGAGAAAATGGGTGTTAAATAACAAACTTTGAAGTGTGTAGTCATTCATTTCAAATGACCTTAAAAAAAAAAAAAAAAAGCTCACTTCAATGAGTGAGTGAGGTTTGTGTGTTGGGATAAAGGGGAGGAGGGAGAAAATAGAAGCAAAGGAAAAAGGGAAGCGGGTCCTTAGTGAAGAATTAAAATATTTGACACTGAAATATGATCAAACCAGTGTGATAAACAACCTGTTGGTTAGAAAAGTATCTAAATAAAGTCAGGATAACATGAAATTTATAAATTGATCAAATTTCAACTGAGTGTCTATAATATGCTATGTACTAAGAATACACAGAAATAAGAATCCCTACATTCAAGAAAAGCAGATACATAAACAAAATACAAAGTGATAAAGTATGCAGGAGAAAAAGGAAGACTCCAGGTTTATAGATTTGGAAAGGATGTTAGAACCTGTCTTCCTTTTATAGATACAAAAAGAGAAACCTAAATAGTTGGCTTAAGGATTTTTATAGCAGCAAGGCCAAGACCAATGCTCCTTTTGCTTCATCACCCTCTTCCTTATAGAACCAATCGCAATTTAGTAACTGTAAAAAAAAGAAAATGTGATGACAGGGTAAGTTCAGTTTCAAAATTCTACAAAGTGCTGAAGAGAGCTCATTTTCTTCTTTTGAATTTACAGTTATCCTAGTGCTATGGGTTGAACATGTCTCCCAAAGTTCACTTGTTGGAAGTTTAATCTTAACAGTGTTGAAGAGATGAGGTGAGGTCATGACGGCTCTGCCTTTATGAACCATTAAAGCCATTAAGGGAATGGGTTCATCCTTATAAAGGATGAGTTTGGGCCTCTCTCTTGTTCTCTCTCTCCCCCATGTGATACCTTCCACCATGTTATGATGCAGCAAGAAGATCCTCATCAGAAGCAGTCCCTGGATCTTGGACTTCTTAATCTCCAGAACTGTGAGCCAAATAAACTTCTTTTCATTATAAATTATCCAGTCTGTGGAATTCTGTTATAACAGCATAAAATGAACTAAAACACCTAAGTAACACCTAGAAACAGTAAGTATAAAAGAGGGTAAGGGTATACAAAGTGCCAGTGAAAACTCAAAAGTTATTGATCAAGAAGCTGGACAGGAAGATAATGTAAGCCTTGATGGGGGTGCTACTGGAATGTGAAAAGAGAGTTTAGGCAGACTATTCACTAAGATATTGTAAAGAGAAGCTGTCCAGCAAGAAGCTGGACAAATAATAAGAGTCGAGTTCAAGGTATAAAATTAAGTGTTAGAAGAGTGATCAATGGAATGAAGTCATGCAAGATGATGGCAAGTGAGCAAGAGAGAGGAAGACTACAGCAAGGTACTAAAACCTTTGAGAGAGAGGGACAAATGTCCTAGAGAGGCTACTCAATGACCAGGATGGAAAAAAGAGTGGTATAAATCGATTTAATAGACTTCAAAAGGGAAGTGTTTGGAGGGGAGAAAGAATACTAGAGTGATGACCTTGAAGCAACAGGGGAGAATAGGAGTCAGCAGACTTTTTCTTAAAAGGTCAAGAAAGTCTGTACTTCAGGCATGCAGGTACCATGTGGTTTCTTTCACGGTTACTCTCTGGTCGTACCACAAAAGCAGCCACAAACAACATGCTAATAAATGGGTATGGCTGTGTGAGCCATATTTTTACAACAACAGAATGTGAGCCAATTTTTAAAGCCATAGTAGGTTGACCCAAGATTCTGTACACTTATCCTATTCTAAGGGAATCTTCTTTCTGGTGGTGAACATGAGAAAAAGCAGGGACTGTAGCTGTATCCACTAGAAAGGGTTTGAGGAAAATATTCCTGTCAAGGGCTCGTTAGCTATCATTAAAATGGTATGCAGATAATGAAGTGCTTTTGAATTCACACAACACAAGGCAAAAGATCAATTAATTCAGACATTTTAAAAAATATCTACTTCAAGGGGAAAGGATTTAGTCTAACCCTTGCGCTATTAATTTTCCAATAAGCTACTTCACTAAGAAACATCACATTTAACTACTTACTTCTTGGTATTTAAAATATTAAGAAATTCACATGAGGTACCTTTTATTCATGTCTATTAGAAAAACTCTAAATCTTGAAATAAATTTCACAATTCACATTCTCTCAAATTAAGTACCATTTTTAAAAAAGAAAAGTTAAGTTTTCCATAAGAAGTTAAAAGGAAAGGATTAAAAGACAAAGATTAAACTTCCTGTTAAATGAACCTCAAAGATAATAAGTAAAATAGATACCTACTGAGAATTAAGACACTGAACAGCTAGCTGTCTGAAGGCTCTTCAGATTATCTATACTGAATAGTAAAATAAAAGCAGTTTCTCTTCTGAATTTCTTTTCCTTAACCTGGGATAGATCAAAACTAAAAAATAGCTTATAAAAACACAGAACAAATAAAGACATTCCCTACTTTATCATGGACATATTATAGCTTTAGGAAAGCTCTCACTATAAACCTAAAATCACTAACCAACCTCTTTGTTTAAAAATGGCAGACTTGCTTATTTAGGTTCTGTCAAAAGTTCCACTGATACAATGCCTTGATAGATTCTACACTGTGCGTCCAGGAATTACAATGCACTAACCAGCATAAAGTTACTAGGATAAAACCTGAAGGGACCTAAATCTAAGTGTTACAATTTATAAAATGACTCAATTTATCTCATTTCCTCTTCCATAGGCATTGCCATTCCAGTACCCATTAAAGGCATAGACACTGATTTGCATAACCCAAACAATATTACCTGTGAGCTGACTAAGGAACGTTTTGGCAATTTCATGCTCTTTGGCTCAATGGCTGCCTTCTTCACACCTCTTGGGATCATGATTGTCACCTACTTTCTTACTATCCACGCGTTACAGAGGAAAGCTTATTGGGTCAAAAACAAGCCACCTCAACGCCTAACATGGCTGACTGTGTCCACAGTTTTCCAAAGGGATGAAACACCTTGCTCATCACCTGAAAAGGTGGCAATGCTGTATGGTTCTCGTCAGGACAAGACTGTGCCCAACTCAAGTGAAGAAACACTTACGCGACGAATGTCTACAGTTGGAAAAAAGTCAGCACAAACAATTTCCAATGAACAAAGAGCTTCGAAGGTCCTTGGAATTGTGTTTTTCCTTTTTTTGCTCATGTGGTGTCCCTTTTTTATTACAAATATTACTTTAGCTTTGTGTGATTCCTGCAACCAAACTACTCTTAAAATGCTCCTGGAGATATTTGTATGGATCGGCTACATTTCTTCAGGGGTAAATCCTCTTGTCTACACCCTCTTCAATAAGACATTTCGGGATGCATTTGGCCGATACATCACCTGTAATTACCGGGCTACAAAGTCTGTAAAAACTCTGCAAAAATGCTCTGGTAAGCTCTACTTCCAGAATGCAATGGCAGAGAACTCTAAATTTTTCATGAAACATGGAATTCGAAATGGGATTAGTCCTGCCATGTACCAGAGCCCAATGAGGCTCCGAAGTTCCACCATTCAGTCTTCATCAATCATTCTACTGGATACACTTCTCCTCACTGAAAATGAAGGTGACAAAACTGAAGAGCAAGTCAGTTATGTATAGCAGAACTGACAGAGTTTTCACCTGACATAATGACAAGCAAGGTGATGAACAAGATGTAAGTTCACCAAGAATTAGATAACGAAGAATTTTATGTCATATATTAAATCAATTCTTTGAACTAAGAATTAAGTGTTAAGATTATCTAATTTTCCTTATTTGGGCAAAATTATTCCATTAAAAAATAATGGTGTATGGCTACAAATGAAAATAATCCAGCACTCTGGTTAAATGTGGTTTTCAAAGGAAATAAAATTAAATAAGTCAATAAAGTTCAGGCTTTAAAAAAATGTCAATTTAACATTTTATTTGGTTCCTAAGAGTAAGCAAAGTTGTGCTAAGAATGAAATAGGACAAACAAACATAGCCTTGCCTTCAAGGTCTTAAAGCAAAAGCCAACAGGACCAAGAGCTAAAGATAAGTATATAAAATGATGATCCTATCTGTTAAATCACTGTAGTATGCATCTAATCAGAAGTGGGTCAACTGGACGAGGAGGAGGAGAAAGCAAATTAAAGTGGTCTTGGGTATCTGAATCACATTATGCTTCTTAAAAGTACTAACGAACACACACAAACTGGAAGCATGGAATCTCAATCTGGAGACTTAACAGTAAGTGAGCTTATAAAACTGAGATCACTGTGCCTGTGTTTGCCCAATGATGCAGTTGACCTTCTGGCCCAAAATCTTTTCATTGATCCTTTCCAGGCCACTCACTGAATAGCAGATTTAATTTAGAAATGATATTAATTTATTTGAGTCTCAGTTTTCTCATCTACATTTTGTGCAGTACTCAGGAGGATAAGATGAATAAATAGTAGACACTCAGTAAATGGTAGCCAATTCAATCTATTTACTTTTTTTTATGCTACTTATAAATGGTAAACAAATTTAGGCTGAGTAGATCAGCAGTGAAAACAGTCCTTGCCTTAGTTTTTCCATTTAAAGCTGATCCATACTTTTGCCTCAGCCCACAGCTCCATCACTTACTCAGTTTAGGATAATGACTTCAAGAAACGTGTTGACCATGGAGAACCTCAGCATTAGTCAAACAGGCATATATTGTCCCAGTGATAGAATCCTTTCCTAGAACATGAATCTAATACACAGATCTTGATCTGTTACCTTTACTTATGGGTCCTATTTCATCTGCTAAGAAAAGTACATCTTACAAATTTAGTTCTTAAATCAAAGCTTTCAGCACTGTTCCCTATTTGTCTAAGATTTTTCAGCAATATTAAAGGTAGGTTACCCAAGATAAGAAGCAAAAAACTTTACATTCCTAAAAAACAAAACAAAACAACAACAAAAAAAAAACCCCACAAAACTAAGTTAATGAAATCATTCTAGTCTTGCCAGAATATTCCACAAAATGAAATACAACTCCAATATCAACTATTTCTGAAAAAAGTACATTATAATTTCAAATTTTTACCACTTTGATACATAGCTCGTCTTTCCATCTTACTGGATACCCTATAAAGAAATCTATAACTTGAAAGCAAATCCAACAGTTAAACATCCCAAAGGTAACAAAGAGATTCTATCTCATAATCTTACTTTCAAAGGGAAACAGGTTACAGCTGTCTAGAATAATTTTGAAAAAAAAGCTCTCATTCTATTCCGAATTACTGTCAGTTAAAGGAGAGGGGAAAACAAAGGTATAGGAAAAAGACAAAAAGAAAGAAAGAAAAGTTGAAGCATCCAGAATGTAAATACAAAGATACTGAAGCAGGAAAGAACGTGGTGAATATGTATCAAATTTATATAAAACTGTGAATAAAAGGGCTGAGGATGTTACTCAGTGGTAGAACCTAGCATGATTGAACCAAGCATGATTGAACCCAAGGCCCCATGCCTAGCATCTATGGGGCCTTGGGTTTAATCACTAACATGGCAAATTAAAAAAACTGAGAATGGGAATATTGTAAAGATGAATCCTGCATTCAGTGGCAAGTGGCTGATTGCTAAAGTTGCTTCAAATTATAAGGGACAAGATGATGAAAAATGTTTATATTTAAGGAATCTGTGTGGTCTAAAAAAATTTCTGCACCAAGAATCTCTTATTCATCTTGCAAGATCTATTTATATCTCAAAGCATACAAATATATACATTGAGAAATAATTAATTTCAAATTATAACAGACTATAATAACAACAAGGGACTTTCAACATTAATTTTAAGAAATGTCCATTTCAGATTATCAACTTGTTCACCAATATAGCAACTTAATAAGTACATAAAGACCAGTGTTACTTTTGACTTCTTTCTTCATTTTCCTTTCCAATGTTCAGTTAAAATAATTTAGACTTCATTCATTTCCAAATGAGGTTCAGTTAATGCTAAGCCCAATATTGTACAAAGAGTTACTATAATAAAAAAAAGTGCTGACCAGACTGATAATAATGGGGCCAATCACTTACATATTAGGTGTTCACTTAAGATCATTTATTTTGATAAAAATTACACTCATTTTAACTTAACAAGAACAGGTCTCAGTTTTTTACTTCTATCATAATCATCACGAATGAATAACAATACACAACTACAGAAATAGAGAAAATACTGCAACCCCACGGACTGTCTTATGAATAAAGGAGACATGAGAATTTTACACAAAGAAAATTTCATCATAGTTTAATGAAGCATGAATAAAATGTTTACTAAGAGGTTTTCAGTATTGCTAGCCAATAAACATATCCGAAAGAAGTCCAAAAAATATTAAAGGTAAAATCCTTAAAACATGGTACAAGGCCAAATGTCTGAAGAGTCATTTTCAAAAGTGATAACAGGGAATAAAAGATAGAATAAAAGAATAAAGACAAAAAATAAAAGATAAAAAACAAAGAAAGTAAATGATGGCACATCAAAAAACACGTAATAGCCTTAGAAGACAGGACAGACAATTCCCAAATGTTGAAGTTAATGAAGAAATTTGAGAATAAAAATGTTCTATCAGAGGGAGATAGGACTCTGCCTGAAAGGCATAGTGGACAAAACCCAGATCTACCATGAAACTATTCAGAATCTCAGTTCTATCATTAGTCCATGATAATGGAAACTTTAACTATTTTGGAATTCAACTTCCTTATTCTTTTTAAAAAAGCAGAATATTTATTAATTTTTAAGTTTCTTCCATCTTTAAAAGTCTTTACTTTTAGGAAAATGGTACTAAACTACAATTTAAAGAACTTGATTTTAGCTCCAGTCCTTAAATTGTTGAATATATTTACTTTTCTTCATCTTTAAGTTTTAGACAAGATCATCTTTAAATCATTTCCAGTTCCTAATTCTTGAGAATGAGTTTGGGAATCTAGCAGGGTATTGTAGCTACTCATATACCCTTGACTCATGAATAAGGACCCATTCCATGGGGAAAGCTGTTCTCTTTGACAGCATGCAGCTTTTGGAGGAATGCATAAGGAGCTGTGCGGGAGGAAGGGAACACCCATGTCATCAGCCAGATCAGCCAGATCTACCCTGGTGATCAATGGGGTGACAAATGTCATAGCTAGAATGTCCTCACATCTCCTAGCCCCTATTTCTTAAAGAACCATATAATGGAAAGATAACTCAGAAAGGTCCCTTCAAAGTAGCACATTAATTAACAATTCATCAGCTGGATCTCACTATCCTAGTACTTAGTAGAAAGTGTGGCAAAGCCTAAGAACAGCTCATAGGAGACATCTGCTGCTGAAACTGGGAATTCAGTACATGTATGAGCTACAGGAAATAAAAGAGCAGAAATAAATTTTGATAATTTGAGAGAAGCACTGTTGAGTTAAAAGGGAAAAAGTGTTTCATTAAGCCAATCAATTTCTCAAGTACCAAAATACATATAGTAGGTCATTAATTATATGGATGTGAAATATAAAATCACTAACAGGAAGAATTTACAGTTGGCAATGAAGGACAAAACAACTAAGAGACAAATATGAGTAGGACTCTATACAATTCAACAGTTATTAAGGATACAACTAGAAGAATATACTTCTCATAGTAAAAACATCTAGTTCCCCATTAAGAATTAAAACAAGGGCTGGGGGCTGGGGATGTGGCTCAAGCGGTAGCACGTTCGCCTGGCATGCGTGCAGCCCAGGTTCGATCCTCAGCACCACATACAAACAAAGATGTTGTGTCCGCCGAAAACTAAAAAATAAATATTAAAAATTCTCTCTCTCTCTCTTTAAAAAAAAACAAGTGCTGGGATTGTGGCTCAGTGGTAAAGTGCTTGCCTACAATGTGTGCGGCCCTGGGTTTGATCCTCAGCACCACATAAAAATAAATAAAGGTATTAAGAAAAAAAACCCATTCTTGATGGCAATGACAAACCATGTTTTTGTTTTTATTTTTCAACTGTGTCTAGACCTAACAAGAATAGGGAAAGGTTGGGATCAAAGCCTGGCTGGTTGGCATGACAAAGATCGCAGGAAAGAAAGAAAACTATTTATCTTCTATTTTGCTTACATCTTTTCTCTTAAGAAAATGATTTTAAAAGATAAAAAAGACTGATCAAAATGCAAAACAAATGAAGAGACTGACTCAGCCTTAGATTTTAAATCCAAAGCTAAATAAATTACTTCCCTGAAATAAAATAGATTTGTAGATGTAATTATGAAATTCTACTAGCAAATGTACCAAAGACCTGTAAGTGGCTAATATTCCAATGTTCAAAAACAGAAAATGAGGAATTCAAGAAATTAAAAGTGTAGAGTCTGTTGTAGATCTTTTTTTAAAAAAATATATTTATTTTTAGTTATAGGTGGACACAATATATTTATTTTATTTTTATGTGGTGCTAAGGATCAAACCCATTACCTCATGCATGCTAGGTGAGCGCTCTACCTCTGAGCCACAACCCCAGCCCTGTTGTAGATCTTTTAAAAGAAAAAAAAAAAAGCAGAATAGCTTAATATATATGTATATATAGGTTTTGTCAGATATTACAAAAGGCATCAGTGAACATCTGACACTTCCATGAAAAGTGTCACATAAGAAAATTATACCAAACTAATCACATATGCTATTGTAGAAGTACCAGAACTAGTAGATCTAGGTGAATGTTAATGTTGATAGGGTTCAGTGAATGTTCTCTAATGTCTCCGAGAATAATAAATAGCACAGCAAAGAGACTAGCAGTCAGTTGAACAATCTCACTGTAAAAAAACTGGTGTAATATAAAGCCTATTAGCATGTTATACGGACCTTTATTTTGCTCTGTGTTTTTGTTTTGCTTTTTTGGGAGTTTTCTGGGCTCCAAGCATGCTAAACATGCATTC